TGTGTGTGTGTGTGTGTGTGTGTGTGTGAGTGAACAAAAGTAAATTTGTTGTTTTGGTTCATTCAAAATCCACATATGCTAATATTCAAAGTTATCTAATGTACAGGGATAATATAGGGCATTTTGTCCATTGCCCTTGTTGAAAGACAGTAAAATAATTGTAGAAATATCTTTGACTCTTAGTGTTGAGGTTTTTTTTCTATCATAAATTGTTGAAAACATGCTGCATTGTGCACAATAGCAATATTTATTATCTGACTATGCTGGGTTTCAAGTCCAAAAACTTGTCTGAAATATGTTGTTTTTGGGAAAGATCTTGAGTACCTCTTAATTAGAGGTTTCTCTGGTGACTGATAACTCTATTTCTCAGCGAAGTAGCAGAATAATTAATTCATGAACATATCTTAGTTGGATGGCAAGTTAATAACTTTCAAAAGAAGAGAATGCACCATGGATGTCTTCCCCCAAACTAGTGGCCTCCAAATGTTTTGGAATATAAGTCTAGTCATCACAAATCACTGACCACTATGGTGAACTGTGATGTATCAGTTAAACAAGACAGCTTTGATATATGGAACTAAGCCACAACCTAGATTGAGGAAATCTATCCTGCTCTTCTTGGTTAAAAGCTAATCGATTGTCTTCTAAATTGCTAGGTGGCTAAACTCTCTTGGGATGCTAGCGAGCCAGGGCATCGATGTGGTAATGAGACACTCATTCTTTGATCATGGGCACAACCATCTTGTGGACCAGAACTTCAACCCACTGCCGGTAGGTGAATGATACAGTATTTTCTGAACTTGCATTAATATCCCTTTGTTCTTAGTGGTCCTCTGTCCTACATATTATACTGTATACTCTAGATCAGAAGTGGTATTCTGCTAATTCGCACCGGTTCGGGTGAACCAGTATTGGCGGCGCAAGTCTCCGCTCCCCCACCCATACATCATCACTGCACATGCCCAGACGTGCACATGCTCAGACATGCGTGCTCCTGCTACTGAACCACTAGTGAAGATAAGAGAATACCATAACTGCTCTAGATGTGTAATGTAACACATGGCCTTTCTCATATTTTACATTCTTATATATATATATACAACCAAACAGTTTCTCCATCATTGCTTATGTTGTAGAAGTTACTTCAAGGCAGCATTTTTCATCTACTAGTAAAGGTACATAGCATGGAACTGTGTTTCCCCAAAAATAAGACAGGGTGTTATTTTCTTTTCATCCCCAAAATAAGTGCTTGGCCTTATTTTCGGGGAGGTGTTATTATTTTTGAGGTAGATTGTAGACTGTAGATAAATTTATTTATAGGCCGCCCTTTTCCCTGAGGGGACTCAGGGCGGCTTACAACATATAGGGAAAGGAGTACACACAATGACATATAAAAAACAGTACATAATTAAAAATAGAAGCAACATTCATCCATCATTCGGGAGGGGACGGATTATAATCTT